CGTAAGTTCTTTTTACTTAGGCTAGCAATTTGATTTTCAATCGAAAACGCGTATGAGAATTGAAAACTACAGGATATCGAAAATGTGGTTTTTGGTATTTTATGTCTAAAATGCTTGACTCAAACAAAACAGTAAAGTATCGAATCGAGCAAAGAGAATATTAAATTGCAAGAAAGTGCGAAAACCCCGAATTTGCAAGAAATTAAGTTTGCGAGATAAATAAAGGACAGGAAATCGAAATGTGCGGGAAATGTAAATTGCTAAAACCCATTAAAATTGCACAGAAAGTAAATAACAGGAAATCGAAATGTGCGGAAAATGTAAATTGCTAAAACCCATTAAAATTGCACAGAAAGTAAATAACAGGAAATCGAAATGTGCGGAAAATGTAAATTGCTAAAACCCATTAAAATTGCACAGAAAGTAAATAACAGGAAATCGAAATGTGCGGAAAATGTAAATTGCTAAAACCCATTAAAATTGCACAGAAAGTAAATAACAGGAAATCGAAATGTCATTGAATGTAATCTACAAGAATATGAAATTGCTGAATTGAAATGGCTCGAAAGTAAATTACCAAGGAAAATATAGAAAGCGATAAATGTACTCAGTGAGCAAGGAAATCCAGATTGCCAGAAACTTCATGGTGTTCGTCGTTTCTCCGGTAGACTTTTCACTACTGATTCTGTTCTCTGCCAATTTCCCCTCTCCTGTTTCTCCTTTCTTTGTTCTATTTATAGGGCGTTGTTCAAGCCTTCTAAGAGCAGTTAACGAGACTGCTACCACGTTCTTCGTGCGTATGACAGCTTCTTTTTACAGCTTTCCCATGTTCTCACGATCTTCAACTTTTCCATCACTTAGAAACTGCTTTCAAGACGTGCGTTTTGACTACTTTCTTTCAAGGTTTAGCCAAGGTTATGATATCTACGAAAACGAGCCTTCCCTTTGATTTAATCGAGAACTTTGCATACCTGGTATCGATTTATTTTAACCTTAACTCCATGTTAAGCTTTTCGACTATTACGCCTACTCTTCCAATTTTACCTTTCGATTTTATGTGTCACGTTCTTTATAATCGGACATCAGGAAAGTTCCCTTTCGATTCATTTCTCGATCAGACTTCTCGATTCCACACTATGACTTAGTCTTTATTTGGCAACAGCCGTTCATTTCTCGATTGTGCTTCTCGATGTTATATGCTACGTGTTTCAATTTGGACATCGAATGAATATTTGTTTATCTTATCGAGTCATATTTCTTTTCCCTTCGATTCCGATTGTGTTTCTCGATTTGCTACTAACACACACCAAATATGTTTCTTTAAATATATCGATATATTGGATCTACAAGACTTTTAAAATAACTTTGAATTTCATCACGACAACTAAATAATTTTAATAAAAATCTTGATCTAAATAATATTTCCTTTTTTGAACTTTATCTTGACCTGTCTGATATTTACCATATTATAAAGTGAAACAATCAGCAATTATATTAATGATCCCTATCTAAAGATATAATTGTTCATTTCAAAATTTAAATTTGAGACTTTGCTTAAAGGATTGGGTAATTAATTATTGATTTATGTTTATAGCAGTTAAAGATAAAACGAGTTAAAATAAGTGTATACTATATATTAAAAGATGTTCCTTTATCATCACTAATTTTTGAAATGGCCTTTTATAATAATGGTTATTATAGATTTCGTGAGAGAAAAATAAATTGCTATTAAATATATGTATAAAAATAAGTTACAGTGTAAGAGGTTTTAGTTTGGCTTATAAGGTTGTTAAAAATTGGAATTCGTACATAACGGGATTTGAGTTCTGACAAGACGCAATCCCCCACATTAAAGAAAATCAAGTTTTAATGAAGAATACGCGTCAATTGTCGTCATGCTTATACATGTTTTAATCATTCTCTCGCGTATAAAACTCACAATGTACTCCAAAATGTTTGCCATTAAAACTGTCAACCAAATTCTTCCTTAAAAAGGTACAGAATAATTGCTATAACACCTGTCTTCAAAGTAACTGTTTTACACTTATTTTTATTTAATAGTATGAGTTTTTCTTATTTTTATTTTCTTCTAAAAACAAATTTAAAATTTAAAATATTAGAATTGTATTTACTAGTAATAAACAAACGAATTCTTTTATATATGTTTTTTTTTTACATTTGAGTACTTTTTTACGTCAGGTGGAAGATTTAAATTTACTTCATATTAATTAATTGAGATAAATTTACGTCACACAATATTATAATTAATGTAAACTTTTACTTTCAAATCTTGCATAGTTTCAAATTCATTTATCTATTTAACCTCGAAGGAAAAATATTTGAGATGGAAGGAGATCTTGTATAGATTTAAACCTTGCTCGATTTTGAACCAAATTTTGCACGATTTCAAACTAGATTTTGCTTGATTTTTCAATGAATGACACTGAGCACACATAGTAACATCTTTTTTCTCCTTGTTAGTCTTCTAAGTCATTTTGTTCTCAATTTTGAGCACCACTTCATCTTCTTATGTTACCATATCCAACTCCTAGATATATCTTTAACAGGAGACATTCATGCATTATTTTAATTAAGATCCCAAAAAATAATCGGGACTTTAATTCTAATTAGAAATAAAGATATAAAATATTAACATAAATTACACAATAAATACTCAAATATATATTCAATATGGGAGAAACATATAGAACCACAAATAGGTCATAAAGATGGTCTCATCATTGTTCATCATGACCGAAAAATGCTCAAGAAAATTATTATATTGTCATTGTTACTCAAAATACAACACTCATGTGTGCTAGAAAAACTATTTTAAAAATATATAAAACAATTTTTAAGTTGAATTAAACAAGATTCAACATAAAAAATTATTTTAATTTTAGAAATATTACAGTTTTCATGGATCAAGGAACAAAGGTTACATGAAGTTCCAGATCTGAAACAATTAGGGTCAACATTTGCGAAGGAAGAATCGCATAACTCTCGTGGGTCTCGTGTGTAGCGTTCATGGGGCATTAGGTTTTGCAATACTCCGTTTTTCTAACAATCTCTCACATATTGAAAAATTAAAAGAGAGAAAAAAGAATAAAAGAAGAAAATCCTGGGTCTCATAAAATGTAATGCATCAAAGCTGGTATAACAAGTTATATGAACCAAAATATTTAATGTGCATTAGCGGTTTTAACAATCATAATACAACCTCACAAATATTGTTATTATCGTTGTGTTGTTGCTTACTAGGTCATGCGTGTGTCCTATATTCATGAGTACTTTAGAAATCTTGTTAAGATGTCATATAAACGGTTCCACTCGACACTCATATAGTGTTGCAAACAATATACCATCGACACTACAAGAATTTTACATATTAGCTATGACACATTCCGTAGCTATTTTATAGCTAATCTCTCGCTGGTATATTTTGCTACAGATTAGCTACGGAATAGTTATGGAATAGTCCGTAGCTAAATCCAAGTAGCTAATTAGATACAGATGTATTCTCTCTCAAACTTGTAGCAAATTTTGTCGCTAAACTGTCGCTAAATCCCTCGCTAATTTAAATGATGAAATTTTGTTTATCCCTAGCTAATTTGATCTCCCAAAACTTGTAGCTAATCCGTAGTTAATCTCTAGCAATTTCACTCTCGCTAATTTGTAGCTAATCCCTCGCAATTTTTCTCTCGCTAATCCGTAGCTATTCCCTCGCAATTTTTCTCTCGCTAATCCGTAGTTATTCCCTCGCAATTTTTCTCTCGCTAATCCGTAGCTAATCCCTCACAATTTTTATCTCGCTAATCTGTAGTTAATCCCTGACAATTTATCTCTAGCTAGTGGTTTATGCCTCATAATTATTTCCTCGCTAATCCGTAGCTAATCCTTTGCAATGTTTTTCTTGTTATTTCATAGCTAATCCCTCATAATTTTTATCAAAATTTATAATATCTAATATTTAAGATTTAAATTATTACTCATTCTTAAAAAAGAAGACAAACTTATCAACTTTCAATATAAAATTATTGTTTAAACATAGTTAAAATGATGTTTCTAACAATTAAAACATAACAAAAATAATATTTCAACTAAAAAGTTCTGTAAAACACAATTAAAAATAGAAACAAAGTTTAAAGTACGTTTTCATCATTGTTTCTTTAAGGCAGATAATAAATATTTCTTGAAAGACTACATTTCTTCTTGCATTTGTTGTTGCATGAGTGTTTGCATTTCTGTTTGTGTCTTTATTTGTACTTGCATCAATGCTTGCATATCAGTTTATGCCTGTAACTGTGTTTTCATCTGCTCTTGCAAACTAGATATCTGTGTAGCTAAGGTAGTGATTTCTTCAGTGAGAGGTGTGGTAAGATTTTTGGAAGAAGGACCTTCAACTGATGAAGATGAAACATGTGAAATACTAAGATCCAAACTCTGACCTATACCATAAATTCTACCTTTTTTATTTTCACCAGCAGTCTTTATCCAAATATCAGAATCAACTATAGGATGATTTGATGTATCTTCCCCATATTTTTCAATCATAGCATTTTCATATGATTCCTACATCAAATCAATATTTTAGCAATATTATAAATAAACAAAATTTAATATTTATAAAATATACACACTTACAATGAAATTTTTTGTTTTGTTAGACACATATTCACCATCTTTCTTTTTATGAACTTTACTATATAATTCACCATAAGAAATAGGACGTTTGTGCTCTTCTTCCTGTGAAATAATTTACAATTCAAGATTCAGACATCAATATACCAACATCAAACCTAATATTCAATTTATAACTAGTAATCAATATTGATTAACAATTATATGATCAATGTATTAAATGTATAAAGTATGAATACCATTTTTTTCAAGTGTTGTCCAAAGCTTCTTGATCCTCCTGTGTGCATCATGTGCATCATGGCATCTGCAACCTGAATAATGCCTCTGCAACCTGAATACACCTCCCACTGTTTGATTAATTATTGGTATGGAAGAGCCTGGTTATACAAAATTCCAATCTCCCCATGGATATAATGATCGTTTGCAGGTACAAGGCTAGCCTTTGACTGATCACTTAAACGAGATGAATCTAGCTGCTCAACTAGCTCAGCACAGCGATCCCCCAGCCCAATGTTCCCATGAACTCTACACAGATTCATCAAAGTCTCCCATATATCAGGACTTGGCTCCATTGGCATTTTTTCAATGAACTCAAAGGCTTCATCCAGATGCCCAATGCTGCCGATCATGTCTACTACACTGACAAAATGAGCCATTGATGGTATAATGCCATAATCCCTGCTCATGGATTCAAAGTGCAGCATTCCCTCATCGATATCTCCCATCACACTACATGTAGATAAAACTCCAATGAACATCTGCCCATCAGGTTTAAGTCCCAGGCTTTTAAATTGAGTAAAGAGATCAATTGAATCTTCTGCGAACCCATTCTTAGCAAGCTGTGTTATCATAGTATCTCAGGTTGTCAAATTGCGCTCTGGTATATAAAACTACATCCATAACATACAAAAATTAACCATTGTTTTTTACGTTTATAACATTTTCTTTTATTTGGATCAATCTGCATTTGTTGTAACATGGTATACGTAATAGTGCTACTTACTCAACAGAACAGAGTTCACTCTAAAAATAATACACAACAAACTTAAAACTATTAGGCGATAGACAATTAACTATGGATGAAACTTAAACACATATTCAATAAAATCAAACCTCCCAAAACTCAAATCAGAGGGTAATATTCAAAATGAAAAAGAGATTACGGTGAGAAAACGTGAGTGGCAGCATGTGCGGAAGCGGCGCAGGACAACAGCGGATGCAGCGCAGGACAGCGCGGGAGCGGGAGCAAGAGCAGCAGGGGAGCGGCGGTAGCAGTAGCGGATGGGGGCGACAGCAGCAGGGGCAGTGGAGTGGCAACGAACGACAGCAGGAGCGGCACTGGACGGACAGAGGCGTTAGGTTTGAGAAAATCAAGTACGAAGAAGATGAGAAAAAATTAATTTAGATTTTTATTAAAAGAATTATAAAAAAAATTAGTATTTTTGAATATAATTTTTTTTATTTCTTATAAAGAATAGTTTCTAAAAAAATTATAAAAAAATATATTTATAAAATTTTTCTATTAATTTAAATATTATTAAATATTTCTAACAAATTTAAATTTATAAAAAACTTACAAAAAATAATTTTAAATATTTATCTATTTTTTTAGATATTTTTTCAAAAAAATTATAATTATTTCTAAATAATTTATTTTAGATAAAAAAATAATTTATATATATAAAAAATTATATATTTATAGTAAATTTGGTAAAAATATTTTTTTTAAGAAAAAATTGTAATTATTTTTTATTGATATTTTTTTCAAAAAGATCAAAAATTATTTTTTATAATTATATATTTTTAGAGAAATTTACAAGTATTTTTTATAAATAATTTTTTATAAAACTAAAATAATTTATAAGAATGGTTCCCAATAATTTAATATTTTTTTCAATTTGATAGTTGCTATAAATTTGCTACAGTTTAACTATAATTATATGTTACACAATTTAGCTAGGAAATAGCTTCAAAAAGTAATATAGCTAATATTTATAGCGAGGGATTAGTGACAAAAATTTTCCTAACTAAATTATATTTTTGCTAAGTAAGAGAATAACTACAAAAATATTAGTCTTCTAGCTATTTTACTACAGATTAGCTACAACCTTATTCTTTCACTATTCCATAGCTAATTAGCTACAAATTAGTGAAAAAATTAGTGAAAAATAATTTTTGTAGCTAAATTTGCTAGCTAATTATAAAATTTCTTGTGGTGCGATAAGGAATATGAAAATCATTAAAAACTTTGTTTAGACTAAAATTCTTACACCACATAAAATTTTAATTACAAAGTTTAACATCTCAATAATGCAAAATCTAACCCATTCACACATACCATGGAAATTGACATAATTGATTTTAATCGATTTTAGTGTTAGTAGAAGTAACAACTGACTTGTTTTTTTACCCATATGAACCTTATTCATGGGATCTCCAATCACAAAGGTTGAGTTACCACAACTTGTTTGTTTGCAAGGGGCTTGAGTCACATTCCCCTCGATATTTCTAAAATCATGTTTCTTTCTAGGAGTTTCGTCAAAGGATATGCTAGATTCCATTTTGACCTCACATAATCAATGAAAATTGTTCCACTCTTTAGCAGTCGATTCACCAAATTGTTTCAATTGTATATATTTGTTCTTTTCATTGTAATTCTTATTTTTAGTTATAGTTATTGTTGATTGACAATCACAATATAAACACAGAAAATGTTTGTTTCATTTCTAACAGAATGTTTGCTAAGAAGTTTTTCAACCACTCAACTTCTTACCATATATTTCAAGAGCAACAAACTCTGATTCCATTGTCAATTTTGTAATAATTGTTTGTTTGACTGATCTCTATGTAATTACATCACCCCAATTGTAAATGTATAACCACTAATGGATTTTGTTTTATTTGAATCAGAGATCTAGTTAGCATCATTGTACCTTCTAGTATAATGGGAAATTCACTATATTCAATGACATAATTCATTAAATCTTAAGTATTTCATAAGTCTTACAAGTGCATCCTAATATTCCTAATTAGGACATTAAGTGTATTTATTTAGTTTACCTATTGCATAAACAATGTCAGGTCTAGTAAAACTCATTAAATGAAGTAACCTCATAATTATCTGGGCATAATGAGGTTAAAAAAATAAATTTTCTTCTATTTTTCTTAAATTTAGAGTAAGCATCATAAAAGGTGTTTACTGATTTGAGGTCATAATACTCAAACTTCCTAAGAAGTTTCTCAATATATTGTTCTTGGGATAATAAAATACTATCTCCCTTTCCTTATAATTCTTACTCCCAAAATCACATTAACTTTACCCATGTCTTTTATTTCAAATTTTGATCCCAAAAATAACTTAGTTCTAGAGACTATGTCAAATTAGAGCCAATTTTTCTTTTCTTAGGATCATATAACATTACTTTAGATAGATGTATACACTCTTAGGTATTTAATTTACGAGTTCTATTTTTTATTCTTAGTTATTCCATTAGACTCAGGTGAATATGATAGGGTCACTTTATGAATAATACATTTTTTAACACAATAATCATTAAATGATATATATTCATCACCTCTATTTGATTTAATCCTTTTAATTTTCTTGTTTAATTGATTTTCTACTTCCGCTTTATAAGTTAATAATTATCAAACACTTCATCTTTATGTTTAATTAGTATATTTTGGTGTATTTAAAGTAATCATCTATAAATGTTACAACATATTTTTACCACCTCTAAACATGGTTTGTTTTATATAAGTTAGATCAGTATGAATTAATTTTAAAAGTTCAGTTTAACGTTCTACATATTAACAATTTTTGTTAGTTATTTTAGACTCTACACATATATCATATTTCTTGCTTTGTTTATCATGCATATTAATTAATCCTAATCGTTGAAATTTGATAACATACACGAAATTCACATGTCCTAGTTTAACATGCCACATATCATATGAATCAACAATATAAGCAGAAGAACCAGATTTATTAACAATTTTAAAGATGTTGAGTACAAAAAGACCTTGATCAAAATATTCCTTCCCCATAAATGCATTTTTTTGTCATAACAATCTTATCAAATTCAAATAACATTTTAATCCCAACTTTTCTTAGCAGTGCTACAAAGATTAGATGATTGATAACACATTTAGCACATTACTCAAGGTCAGAGTCTTCTCATATGTGAATTTTTCCTTTTTCTAGGACAAGAGTTGTCCTGGAATAAACGAGATAAACATGTTATTCTTCATACTCACACTAGTGTAGGAGGTAAAAACACTTCTGTTTACATAGATGTGTCCGGTAACATCAGAGTCTACCGTCAATTTGCTCACATTTGTCACAAGGTTTATTTAGGAAATGATTGCAACAATTATATCTTTTCTATCGACTAAATTTACCTTAGGAGGATATTTGTTTTTTATTCTACGTTTGCACTAAGGTGCATGATGACCTATCTTTTTATAGATAAAATGATTTCCCTTCTTCTTGAAGGTGATGTTAGATTCATTGGGACAAAAAAATGTAAACCTTTTT